AGAATGAAAAATTACTTTGTTTTTTACTATTTGGTATGCAAATGCCTAGTAACCATAACTGAGAAAACTGCCGTTGTGCATGGTACTGTACAAAAACATAGAAAGAAAAAAATTCTGACATTGAAAGGTACAGATATGAAAAATGATGAGAAAACAAAGATACACAGCAATTTCACAAAAAAAAAACCCTTAAAATTGTAGACCACGTATAAGCATATGTGCTGTAGTAGTTTCTTTGTGTGTGAGGATAGAGAATGGTGGTACAAATAGAAGCAGGGTGGAATTACACTGTTCTCAATTTCAGAGCTGTCATTCAGCAAGAAAAAGACACTGGGATTTTGAGAAACATAGACTGAGAGACCACAGAAATCAGAGACAATGAAAAATCTGAGGTTTTTATCCAAGAACAGCTAGTGTGAGACAAGTACCTTTCATGAAAATAATAGATGTTTTTTATTTTATTCCAAACAGGAAGGAGGACAGGCTTCTGAAACTTGAAAATGGTCAATAGTGACAAAAGCAGCCGAGAGAAAGGAAGAGAAGTTAGTAAATAATAAAAACTCCACAATTTGAGAAACACCAAAACACATATCAGGAGTGGAAACTACAATCCTAGCAGCAGATATGGCTTAGAATTTACTTTCGCGTTTCTTTCCTTCTAATTCTTGGATAATCCTAAGGTTTTCTTTGTTGTTCCCAATGAAATGGTCCACCAGACCCACCAGGCATATAACAGAATTGTAAAACTACTTCCTTTCCATGCTCAAACTAGATAAGTAGATCTGAAGAGGAGAGAGCATTGAAAATTTCCTCTGCTTTCTGGCTTCTAAAAGGAGTTGTAATGTCATGTTTCCCAGACCACGAGGAGGCATACGATGATCTGGAGGACCCAATAAACCTCCGGACACAACATCCTTTTTCATTGAGGCTATTTCACAGGGATGTTTGACTCACAAGGGTAACAGCATTTTCAATGTATAACCCCTGTGCTCTCCAAGGTTTTAACTTTAGCAGGTTTTAGTCTAGCAGTTACCTTGTTTTTCTAATTCCCACTTAGGTTCTCCTTCAAAAAACGCTCTTCTTTTGTATTAGTACCACACAACTTTGGGCAGGTTCCAAGGTATTTTTTAAGAAATAATTCAATGGACTGCTATATAGATAATTTATGCAGAAATTACTGTCAGTCTCATGGGCAGCTACTGAGCCTTACTGTGATTGGAACTAATAACTATTACCAAGATATGATAATTTCATTTAACATTAGGAAACCATCTGGTGCCTTCATTTCTTGTTGTAACATAATGCCACTGTTTTACTCAATCCACTCTCATTAAAACAAGACAAAGCAGCTAAGGAAAAAATACACACAGGTGATAAATTTACCTTCTCAATCATCTTTGTGCAACCACCCCCAGAAGTCATACTCTCATAGATTTTTGAAGTAGGAGGGAACTACTAAAATCTAATCTGAGCTCCTGTATAATGAAGGCTATCTATTTCATTAAGTATCCTCTAAATCAAGAGCATAATGTGTTTGGGCTATGCTGTATCTATTATCCTCACAATGGCTGCATGTGATGAATGAATCCAGCCTACTCCTAGATAAATTGTACCAGTGGTTAATTACTGTCACTCTTAAAAATATGCACCTTATTTCTAGTCTGAATTTGCCTAACTTCAGCTTTGAAACATTGGATCTCATTATGCTTTTTTCTGCTAGATTAAACAGTCATCTGCTGTCAAAAGTCTCATTCCCGTTAAGGCACTTACAGACCATGATCAAGTCACCTCTTAACCTTCTCTTCAGCAGATTAAACAGACCGATCTTCTTTAGCCTCTAACAACAATGGTTATTTTCAGACCTACAGTCATCCTTTCACCTTTAATGAAGTCTTTCCAATTTTAAACATATTTTTTAAGTGTAGTCACCAGAACAGGAGACAATAGTTTATTAATAGTTTCCCTAATGCCATATAAAAAGGCAATGTTATTCCCTACTTGATACTCACCTGTCTATATATCAGAGAATATAATATACACCATTTAAAACCCTCCTTTAGCTTACTGATAAAACAGAAAGTATTCTGAAATGAATTTAAAATGTGAATATTTATCCTGTTTTTTTATACACAATGCAGAAAACGTACACAACTCTTCTGTCTTTTCTATACTATCCATACCTTTCTATACTATCTATACTTTTCTATACTATCTACATCTACTGTCACTTCTGTCACTTAAGATGTTTTTCTGATAGTTTTTTTCTTTCTTTATCAGTTTCCTGTTGTTAAGTGCTTTTTATATTATTATTTAGTAGTAGTATCTATGAGCTATTCAACTCTAGCAGTACCTTTTAAGGCAGTTCCACTTATAGTCTTATTTTAAAATATTTTCTTGCATTTTCATTTTCTTCATGTAAGGAAATTACATTCCTGAAGCAATTTGCTTATACAAAATAGAAGTATATTTTGAAAACACACAAATACAGATATAGTATGTTGACCAGAATGATAATATTCAATTTTCTGATAACTCAACCTCATTAGGTAAAAATACCTAATTTTACCAGAAAATTTACTCTAACAGATAGACTATATACAAATGTTTTGGTTTATCTTTCATGGAATATATATTTAATTAGACTGTATTCCTTACACAGGTAGCTCTAGTGAATAGCATTTACATCAAGCAAACTCTAATTTCCACCTGGAAGTTGCTTCGGACACGAAATGAATCAAATGAGATTATATAGTTTCCATTTACTTTTCTTTTTGAGCATAATTTTCACTTATTGGCTGAACTACAAGAATAGTTGTAGCTACTTCTAATACTTAAGTTTGGATCCATTTCATCAGGTGAATAATACCAATTAATTTACATACTACTAGATAAGATAGTCAACATCAGAAAAATATTTGTAATCATTTGGTTGCTAGCTGGAGCAGAATTTCATAACTATTAGTGCATTTTCATGTCACAAAACATTTACTAACCATGATCTGTTCACACATAAATCCCAGAAAATATGTTCGTTCAACAGAATAAACCTTAATTTGACCTAAAATCTATCAGCTGAATAAAGAAATCCTGTGTTTTGTTCTGATTTCTCTTTTCTTTCATAGTGAAGAAGGAGAATTCATTAATGTACTAGAGGCAATATCAAATTATGTGATCTGACACCATAACTTTGTTGTGTATAAGTCTAGGTTATTTCAGCTGCAAACAAAAATCTTCTGTGCAGGATGTGTAATTGCTGTTTCGTTAGAAGTAAGTCCTCTCTAGTTCTTGGATACAATATACTAGATAAACACAAAATATATCTAAATAAATAGAAACAGAAGAATAAAGAGAGCAGAAAGAAAGAATTGTGCAGAAAAGGGAGCAGTATATTAATATGCAGAGGGGAAAAACATCCAGAGAAAGAGAAATAGTCTCTGTGCACTTAAAAAACCCATAGATTATGTGCATACAAAAAAGGAAAAAGAGTGAGTAAGAGAGAAAATTAAGGGTGGGGAGAAGGAAAACTAAAAGTTAAGAAGATGCAGAGAAAAGTGCTTCTGGCAACCAGAAGGAAAGACACTGCTAATTTAAACTTGCTTCCTAATATTTTAGAGTCCCAGTTTGAATCTGAATTAGAACAAGTTCAAAGTTTTCTGCCAGACAAAAATCAAATTAAAGCCCTGTAGTGTTTTCTGGTAACTCAATAGATACATTCTGTCATCTTTTTATATCCTGATATTTAAATCATTTTGACTCTTAAAAACTTCAGTCTTTAAAATGTCAATGTTGTTTCTTTTAACTACTTCATATATTTCCTAACATCAAGAGACCTCTAATTGATTAGTTACTTCTATTAACTTCATCAGCTCCTTTTCCAACAAGTATTCTGGGGAAAATAGAACCTTCCCAATATATGCTATAAGTTAAGCAGCCTAAAACATTCCTGAATGCTGAAGTTGAATTGATTTTTATTTCCAAGCAGAAGCTGAAAGCCCTATAATTATTTTTAAAAATTAAACTACGTGTACACTTTGATTGGCTCTAAGGTCATAGGATTAAATAGTGACTATTTAGCCTTGATATCTAGACAAATTTTGTACTCTCTGAATCTGATGAGAGGAGCTGAGCACACATTCTTCAATTTCTGCACCAGTTTACAAGTTACCTTGGACCTCAGTTTGCCTAATTTCATATGCTAATGTAACAGTCACCACAAAGCTTTAGGTGACAAAACAATAACTCATAAAAACAGACTATACTAGCTAAAAGTCTTCAAAATGTACCAAAGATGAGATAAATATTGTTAAACACCTCTTTCTTTGGAAGATCTGAGGCACCTCTGTGCTATCAAACACAAGGAGTTATAGAACAAACCACCCTCTCTCCCTTCATGCATACTTCTCACTAATTTAAGACCACCTAAATGCTTGATGAAGATAGAAAAGAAAGATTTCTTTTTAATCCAGCAACGTATTTCACTATATTTCAAATTGAATGAACAGGTTAAAAGGAATAGAAAAACTGGAAGAATCTGAGCTTTTTATATGGACCCAAAATTTCATTCAGAAGTTTCTCAAAAATACAAAGTCCAAAATGTTTTTCTCAGTCCAGCCACTAATATTCTTAGTGTAGTCCACTTGCTTGAACAAAGGCAATTAAGTGTAATGTTATTGAACTGATACTGTAACTCCTAACCTGACAAAACTCATTCTTGTACACAGCTATAGGAGATCTGTCTGAGCAAAGTGTTCAGGTTTCTTCACCTGTTCCACTGTTATAAATTCAATTCTTTAAGCGAAAATCATCAAAGAAATTGCCCTTTATTTCCCATGAGAGATTTTGTATTTGCTTCCTTTGCTACCTTGCAAATTCTCAGAAAAGTGATTTTCAGTTGCTCTTGACAGCAGTGGGAATCATATCCATTGCTCCTCAGCAAGTTGCACAAACTTTCCCCGCACAATCGGAATATAGGAATTTTTCAAACAGAATATAAAGCTTACCTTGAAGAAAGTCATGGTTGCTCCATCTTCAACTGCCCCATACTCTATCTTTGTCTGCTTGGCCAAATCATCAGCAGAATCAATAGGGGATTCCATACGTTCCACTGTCAGAAAGGCGGCTAGGTTAGCAGTGTACGAGGAAATGATGATAAGTGTGAAAAACCACCAAATGCCTCCCACTATCCTGGTGGAGAGGGCTTTGGGCATGAGCTCAGAACCTAATGAAAACCAGGGGAGAAAGGTGAAACCAATGCACAGAAAACAATTAATAAGTGTTCAGCACTTTTTGCCACAGTGGGGAGATGGAATCACTGTGCAAAAAAATCTTTAAGCTACAGGCTTACATGTACTGCTTGTACAAACACACACAACTGAAATGAAAAATAAGAACTGATTACACTTATAAAGACAGATCTTTTTGGAGCTGTGGGAATCAAAAGATAGTAATGGGAGACTCAATGATTAGTGCCTTTTTAAAATTTATAATTATATATATAGCAATGTGAACAAACCAGTTACTTGAACTGGCTTTCCAAAAAAAATCTTAGCTGGACTGAACTTCTAAGTTAATACTAATATTGAAGCACTTATACAGTCCTTTATCTTCAAGGCACTAAATAAATGTTATTTATTTTGTAAAAACTCACTTGAGTAAATAAAAATAAGCTACTGATGAAAAGAACAGATATGAAATAAAGTATTTCATATCTGAAATACAAAATCTGAAATCTATTATAAATATGCTTTTGACTTTTGCCATTTGTATTGCTGTAAAGGGTTATTTATTGACTGCTTAGATAAAAAAAATTAACATCTCCCATCTCTATAGGTAGCTCCACAATTTCAGATAAACATGGGTGGCTATGCCACACACTTAATTTGATAAAGGAGCAATGAAAATATTAGACCACTATGCATAAACTAGATAAAAATAGATTATAATGCATTGCTGGAGTTGCCTGCTCATGGCACTAAAGAATGGAAGGGGCGACAGACACTGTATAGTAATTTGCATAATTATGAATGCTAATTTAGAGTCTAATGAGACAAATTGAAGCACATAAACTCCTCTTGTGCCTAATTACTAAAAATAGGAAAAAATAAAATTCAATGTAATTTACAACCACAAATATTTATTATAAATGAGCATGTATGGATTTTTTTCCATAACATTGAAATTGAGTGGAATGAAATTTCTAATGATGTCAAATAAACAATTTCAAGCTTCATTGTAAGAACTTTACATAAAATCTTTTAGAAGTATCCAGAAACTTGTTTTCAGAGAAAGAGTTTTACCATATCCACTATATCATTGTACCAAAACAATCACTTTTTGTTAATTGGTCACTATACTTGTTTTTAAGTTTCCTGGGTAAAATGGAATGAAGGCAAGATGGACTATTTTATTACTGTTAAAATTTAGTGTTCATATTGAATTATTTAAGGAACTGGTCCAGCAAGGTAACACATCTTCATATAAACGAAAGATTATGCCAAACTTCCAACGTCAATGCCAAAAAAAGAACAGAAAGGGGGGAAAAAAAAAAGGAAGAAAACCAAAGAAAAGGAAAAAAGAAGTGGTATCGTAACTGGACTATCATATTCAAAAACAGCCCATCTTACCCTGCAGTTCATCTTACCCTTGCAGTTTCAAACAAAAAAAGCTGACAGACTTGGACATGACAGCCAACTCCAGCGCCAGACT